TGTTCCTTCCTCCATTCATACCCTTCTTTGGTGACTTGAAGCAACAGCGAGAAAGCTTGGGTTTTGCCGCTTAGGTTCGATATGAACCTTCTTAAGAAATTAATCTTGCCCAACAGGGATTGTAATTCCTTTTTATTTGATGGCGCCTTGGTCTCCATAATGGCCTTCGTCTTATTTTGGTTTATTTCGATGCCCTTTTTATGGACTACGAAACCCAAGAAGTCGCCAGCCTGCACAAAAAACGCACATTTTAAAGGGTTCATTTTGAGGCCAAACTTCCTTATTCTTAAGAAAGATTATTGAAGATGATCTATATGATCTCTTCCTGATATGGATTTAACCACAATGTTGTCAATGTATATCTGCATAAACGATTCTATATAGTCATGGAAGATTGAATTCATTGCTCGTTGGTATGTTGCCCCAGCGTTTTTCAGGCCAAAAGGCATTACTACCCATTCGTAGGTGCCTATGGCCCCTGGACAACGAAACGCTGTTTTGGGAACATCATCCTCAGCAATGAAGATTTGGTTATATCCAGAATAACCATCTAACATACTAAGATATTCGTGGCCGGCGGCTGAATCGACTAGCATTTCTGCCACTGGTATCGAATATTCATCCTTAGGAGTTGCTGAGTTTAAGTCCCTAAAGTCTATGCAGACTCTCAAGGAACCATTTTTCTTAATAACTGGCACAACATTAGCAAGCCATTCGACATACCTGGTTGTGCGAATGAATTTGCACCGCAGAAGCCTTTCGATTTCCGCTTTTATTTTTGACAAAACCTCTGGAGCAAAACGCCTTAGGCTCTGTTTGACTGGTTTCTAGCCAGGCTTGATCGGCAGTCTATGTTCCACCAACTCTCTTTTCAATCCTGGCATTTCATCATAATCCCAGGAAAAACAGTCTCTGTATTCACGCAAAAGCTGGATGACTTCCCCTTTGAATCGAGTGTCGAGGTTGGCACTAATGTAAGTGGGCCTTTTTATAATGCCGTCTCCTAAGTCAACTTCCTCTAGCGGGTCCTGCGCAAGCATTTTGGCATCCTCTGCCAAGGGATCTCTCTCGAAACCCAACGGCTCGTCGTCATAGATAGCATCAAGCCTTTTGTTTTCTTGATGGGTTTCATCAGATAGTTCCGTGTCGAAGCTTCCCTTGTAGCTTCTCTGAAGAACTTCTTTATTGGCCTCTGTGGCCATTTTGCTTCTAACAGCCTCTAGGGCCGTTTGTAATCTAGTTTCGGCCACATAAGCCGAAATCCTTCGAAGCGCATTGGCTTCAGTCATTATTACTGAAATCACTCCCCATCCCGTGGGGTCCACTGGCAAGGTTCCAAGGTATGGAAGCCTTTCTCCTGGAACTTCTCTGTCCCAACGGAAACTGTCTACAGGATGTAAGTATAACGAGCCAAAGACTTTATCGTCTGGCTTGAAATCGAAGTCTGCTGGTCCACAAGGACCTATTTCAGCCAAGTGTTTGTCGAAGTGCCTTTGATCGACATAGTTGATGGGCGCCCTAAAGTACCCCTGATCAGCTTCAATATTCTCTACGATGCCGTCTGGCCTCCAAATTGCAATCCTTTGGTGCATCGAGGATGGCACTGCCCCCATGCAAGGAATCCACTCACGTCCAAGTAGCAGGTTGTAATTGGCTGTAGTTTCTACAACCATGAATACCGTTGTTCGCGTTACTGTTCCGACGGTGATATCTACCTGGATTACTCCCCTGGTCGAGCCTACCTTACCTTCGTAGTTGGACAGGACCATGTTGTGTGGCTTGGTGTCGGCATCGCTTTTCCCGATTTTGTTTAATAAAAGATGTGGCATCAAATTTACCGTTGCGCCACAGTCCACCAGAATTTTGTTAACTGGGGTGTTTTCCACTTTAGCCGTAATGTACAGCGGCTTCAAATGGTTCCTCATTGTCGCAGTAAAATTTGGATACCAAACTATTAGTTAGTTTGAATCTTTATTCATTTGCAACCGAACTTTGATTTGTCCAAAGGAAGGGATAAAGATCGAAATTCCCACAATGCAATGCAAATGCAAGCTAGAGAGTTATAGGTTCGGGGGTTGGTTAAACTTTAGGGAAGGTGCTAGCATCCTAAGTTTCTGTAGTACTCTACAGGAACCTCTTGTTTTATGTTTGTTTATTGCTAAGTGTTTTATCTGTTTAATGGTTGAAAGACCTAGGGGTTTATTTCTAAGTATACTCGATAAGATATCGCATCTTATGCCTACATATCCTTACGGTAGTGGAATCAGAGTATTTTGTAGTTCTCCTAAAGGGTTTGAGGAGTTCTTTGACTGTGGTCAAAGTTCCTACGGGTTTAGGGTAGTTGTTTGATTGATTTTAGGAGACGAGATGCATTGTCATTTTAAGGGAGATGTAACCGCCACAAGATGTAGGAAAATAGTCTTTGCATCGTCTTAAGAAAAGGACTTACGTACTCGGATAGGGATCAACGAGGTACACCTTTATCTCTCTTAAGGCAAAGTTCCTACGGTATTGACTGTAATTGATGTGGGGTGGAGATTCTATCTCGCTTAAGATGATTTGGCATCTTTCTCTAATGTGTTTGAATATTGTTTGTATTGTGTTGTTTGAATTGTTTTGTCTATGTTATAAGATAAAGTCCTTCTTATAGGGTAGGATCTAACTTAATTGATCAACTTGAATGGGATCAAGGATCATGGGGAATATGGTGCAAATGAGATGTACTACACACGATTGTTGAATCATGTGTAGGTTTTTCCTTTGGACGGAATGCAATGCGATGATATAAGTTGCGATAATGAAAATTGCTCGTAAAATAAATTGCGGAAAAGTAAAGGGCAAATAAGTAAACATACACATACGCATGAAAGCGCTGAAGTGTGTGAGAGTGAATGTGTCGTGAAGTGTGCACGATTAGATTGGTTAATTCGCGATGTTGATTAAGTTTACGGTGATTGATTAGGAAGAAGTTGGATAGGTTTTAGTGATATTGATTTTGAGTTGTTCGTTTTATTTGAGCGAGAGGTTGTTTTTAAGATGATTTTAGATGAGATTAAAATTAAGGTCTAAAGTTAAGTAAAAAAACTATGATGATCTAATTCGTTATCTAAAACTTAAGTGAAGCGAAATATTTCATCGTGACTATTATTAAAAGTTGGATTAATTCATTATTGATTTTATTATAAAAAGTGTTCATTATTAGTATTTCTAAAAAGGCCAATTAAGTACTAATGATTTATTATTGATTAGATAAATTGCCAAAGAGGTATACTTATTTAAAAGTTATTATTTAAATTAAATTATGGATATTAGTTTTATTTTATTTCTAAAGAAAATTATTAACTAAATAAACTTGATAAAGAAGTGCAATTTTTATAAAAGTTTATTAGTGACTAAACACTAATTAATTAAAATGTTGTTAAGGAGAAAAAAATTAATTAATTAATTATCAAAATATTTTAAGATAAAATGGTTATAAAGTTGGTTTAATTGGATATAAAAGATAAAATAAGTAATTATTGAATAGTATGAATTTTTTTTAAAACCCTAATTAGCTAAATGATTAAAAAGATAAAAAAATTGATTTGATCAAAAAGTCGTTAATTTATTTTAAAAAAAGGAAAGACTAATTATAGTTACAATTAATAAAAAGATTAAATAGCAGATTAATAGGTTAAATTTTAGGGTGATTAATTGGTGATCAGAGGTTTAACGGTTAATTGGTGATTAGGGCTGGTGGATTAAGTGCATGTGTTTTGTGTGATTAGTGATTAGTGAGTGATTTTAATTATATTACAAATAAAATAAAATAAAAAAGAAAACGGAAACCCTAATTTCCTCAGATTCCCAAATTGAAAGAGGAACGCTCACCCTCCCTCGATCCATCGTCTCTCTCTCTTCGTCACCATGGTTTCGTTTTGCTCTCCCTTTTCGATCCATGGCTCTCCTTCATTTTTGAACCTGCACTACAAATAAAACATCAAAAGCTTCAATAATCCTTTGCGCGAATAAGAGGTTACCGTGAATTGAGACGGTGTCGGAGATGTCTCCGTGATGGCAGACGTCTCTTAACGTGAACGGAAGTTGGTGACTCGTGGAAACGGCAGACGGAGGCGATGACTTATGGTGGAGCGGTCTTGAGGGTGCTTCCGGTGGTTATGAGGTTTTGGGGTTACGATTTTGCGGCGGAGCTTCCAACGAGATAAGCCTTTACTTTTTCTGATTTACACGTTTAAGGTTGGAATTTTGGGGTTGTGAAATTGAGGTTTTGTGTGCGTGTCTTCCCTCTTCCTTTTTCGATTTCCTTCTCTTCTTATATAGGCTTCAGATTGAGATTTTTGTGTGGGAATTTGATTAAAACCAAATTGAATGTTGATTGATGATTGATTGGGATTTCCTACTTTGGTTTAGACGAGAATGGAAATCTTTCCTTTTTTCGTTCCACCCTCTTAAACATTTGTTAAATGAAAATCAAATCTTTGATACTGCATCAATCTGTCTGCGTTCAAAAATTGTGATTTGGATTGGATATTTTTGGGAATATTCTTCCAATTGATTTTGCTGACTTGAGATTGTGATTTTGGCAGGATTTGAAAGAAAGACAGTGCATCCCAAAACATCAGCTCGTCTCGTCATTAACTCGTGAAGTAGGCTGGGTGATGGTTGGAGCTGGTGCTATCTTTGGGAGTTTCTACTTGTTCACATCTCTCAAATTTACCCAACTGGCGTAGCACACTTGTAGGACATTGCAGAGCTTGGAGAAAGGTAAAACCGGTTGCTTTACTAACTTTGCCTTGTTCTGTTTGTAACGGAGTTGCTGCCACCAATTTGGCCTCATGGTGTAAGTTTTGTTATAAACTCTGAAGGTTAATTCACCAATTCGCACTAGTGTGGAGAGCGCCGAGGACTCATGACCTGACGAAGACTTGGCATCTAAAGGCATTCAAGAGTGACTTGAGAAGTAGACAGGTAATTATTAGTGCTTTTGTAGCTAGTCCTCATTAATCTTCATCAGAATGTAGAAGCTGTTGGAGCGTGTAATTCATAGCATTCCAGTTTTTGCAACTGTGATTTCCTTTGGAGTCTTCACTTTGCTTGGAGGGGATTAACACTTGACGGTTGATTATTAACTGCTCCCTGTATGCCTCGCAGAAAACTTCGGGTAGACGTAATGAGAAGTATCGAACATACTCCTGGCCAACATTTTTCACAACATTGTCCAGAAGATGGAGTGAAGGAAGCTTATGATCTGCAGACACCTCAAGAATACGAGCGCAAATAGCATAAGCGATCCCTCTAGCCTGTTCCCTATGTTGTTCAACAATGATGGTAAGATCAGTGGTGATAGGTTTCACATTAGACTCGAGTTCAGCCAATAACAACTCGTAAATCGGAATAATTTCTTCGGTTGAAGGTTGTGAATTTCTCAGCCTTGGGTCATCCTCATGTTGCTTCAGCAAAGCCTTGAATCGACCAACGAGTATTGACGGTGGGGGTTTCTGTCCATTCTCATTGCTCATGTTGTTCAGTCTCAATCTTGAGCCGGTGTCTCTATCCTCAAAACCACAGTCGTGTGGTGCATTTTGCTAACACCTTCTTCTTGTTTTGCAGCAGTGTTGTCATGAACAAAGGGTTGCCATTGTTTGAGGGTATCAGTGAATTCTTCAATGTCCAGCCCCTTGGCTTGACCTATTCGAAGTAAGCGTACCTCATTTTAACTTAAATGCCAATCGAATTTGTTGTTAAAAAAACTAGTTTCCTTTCTTATTCAAAATCTGTGGTGAAACTATCTCTGTTAAGTTTGGTTTGAAAACAATCCATGAGTTGTAAAATGTCTCGCCTTTTGCTTTGACAGGTTTCGTGGACAAGTCGAATAAAGCTTCCTTTTCTACTTGTTCATGAAAGTGGCGGTTGAACTCTGTCCTCCTTAGTTCGCTGGATTGTTTAGGCTCTATTTCTTGAGGAAGACCCGTTACCTCACAAGACTTATTCTTTCAATGCAGGTTTCGTCAGCGGTGGGAGTTTGTGGGTGCTACCGCTGATGTTGAGGCTGAAATAAATGTCTCTGCTGTTAAAATCAAACGACCGTGGCTACTACCAATCCCCGAGTTGGATGCTACTTGGGCACGTTATTAGGGACAAAACTGGACTTTGATACTCCTGTAATGGCATGTGCTCAATATAATGTTAACTTCAAAATGGGAGGAACAAAACAAGTCTCAAGATTTTCATGTGGCTACAGGGGTATTGGGCCATGCTGTTACTGCTAGATGGGATACCAGGGTTTCCGCTAGAATGTTGAGTTGAACTTACATTCATATAGGTTCAACAACACCAACTTACTGATATTTGGTACTTAGAAAACTCAGCAGTCGTTTGCTTATAAAAATGGATCTTCGGGCAGTCCAAATGCATGTTCTGACGGTGCAACCGGTGGCTCTATATCGTGAGCTTTGAAGAGTTTAAAACATTGTCGACAATGCAAGATAGCATTTAATGTTTTTGTAGTACTCTTACTTAGTATTACAATGTTGGCATGATGTTTCTTTCAATTCTTATGGGGTGTACGCGTATTTTGATTCGAGCTTATCTTATGGTATTCTGAATGAGATTGTATGTGTGTTTGCAGGACTAGTTTTGTTGGAGTTAACATGTAATTTACCTTTTTGCCTCTCAATTTACTCAATTGACGAAGTATATAATTGCAGGATGTATACCAAAAGCGGTGGCATGACGAGCCAATGCGGTTCTCTGTTTGTCGCCTTCTTCTTTCAGAATGTTGAGTTAATTATTGGTTTGATGTTTGATACTCTCGCTTGACTAATGGTGCAGAAGTATGTAATGGAGTTCAAAATGGCATAAAAGAGGGACCCTGTATTCAGCGTCTTAATACAAAGATAGGAAGTGAAGATCAAAGCAAATAGCAACGGCTTCAATATCGTAACTTCCTGCCACAGATCGAGAAATATAACCAAAAAAAAGTGCTGCTGTCAAGCCAGCTCCGGAACTCTTAGCCTCCTGATGCAAAGCAAACTCCAGTAGGAACGTCCTTATCCGATAAAGTCGGGTCTAAGAATGCTGGTAATGTATCTTTCCCTCCTAAAGACACAGTTATCAACTCTGATAGGACTCATCCGTTTCTGAATCTTCCTGTGGCTTTTACGCCGAGGAAATTCCGTCCATATGGAGGATTATTGCATTTAGATAGAGTTGCAAGGTTGTTATTATTTCCTTATGATTTCTTCCTTTTAGGATTCTTAGACAAATGTTGTTCCAATATGGCCACGATGTATTCTTCGATTGTTGCCTTGGATACTAATATCTGTTGCGGACAAACCGTGAAATTGTCTTTGTTTTAGCCATATGGTTTCATGAATGTATTGCCAAACTTGCTGTCCATATTTAATAATTTTGTTTGATATTTGCAAGGACCATAAACTGAGTTGTAAATTTGCAGGGATTCTATTCGGTAATAGCGGGTGGACGAGAAGCTAAAACGTCATCCGAGTTAGTTGGAGAACTGAACAGGGCCTGCAGTCAATGGATTATAACTAAGTCGTTTATTCCTCGAGGAGTTTCGCATTGGTTTCGCTTCTAGTTATTGCTTTGGATGTATTGTTCAATCTTTCGATTGTTGTGTTTCTTTACCACTTTTTATGTATTGAAGATTTTGGTAACATGATTCTATTTATCACCACTGCTCTTCAAATGGGGGCCACCGGCCGTAACTTTAGCGTATGTTGACTTCCTTGAATTTGATTTACTCATGCTTTCCGAAACTAACCAAATGTTAATGGTGTTTGGAATTTGATGCAGGCGGTGTATACCTTCTTGATTTTGCCTCGAGCATGTCGTAAGTTGTGGCGCCACTGCCGGTGTTGGGGTCATAGCTGCTGAAGTTGAGGACAAAACGCTGCTGCTGCTAAGGCGTTGAGGACGTCATCCGGCGAGTTGTTCCATGCCATTGATGCAATTGTTTATGTGGCACACCTGTTACGGAAGCACAGTTTTTACATACGATGCTTTCTCTTGTCGCTACATATTGTATAGTTTTAGTGTTGTTAAAACAAGCTCATTGATTCTTTCTCAAAAGTTGTAAGCTCGACTTCAAATAAATGTTTCTTCCACACCAAGTGCCCCCTTTGAGGAATTAAAATCTTTGCACTTGTTGGGAAAAGTTGTAAACAACAGTGGTAATATTCTCGTTCCTTAAGCCAAACGTCTTGTATAGAAATTGCTCCTTGTATGCTCTTCATAAAATAAATCATGAAATCATGGTCTTACCAATTTAGAAGTGCAGTTGTGGTCTTACCAAGAAAACGCCATTTAAACCTTTATCTCCTTACGACCGAGCCCTTGTTTATTAATCGAGTTGAATTTAACGGCATATTTGTGTATCTCTAATTCGTACTCAAATTGGTGAAACTTTTAATTTCGGGTATTCCAAGCACCCATAACTCGCCTTGATCACGACTCCACACTTTGTCATAATTTGCTCCCGAATATCCTTAATAGTCAAATGTCATAGTATCCCACTCTTGAAGTACCATTGAGAAAGATATGAGATTTTCAACTGTCCTAGCATCCTCTTAATAATTTTATTAGCGAGCATGAAAACCATCTCCATTTGGCATTACTGCGTCTGCACAAATTGGTTAGTCGCATAAATATTAAATATTAAAGTAAAGTCAAATGAAAATAGAAAATACGCAAAAAGAGGTGGGATTTTAAGGTCAAAAATTTGGATGCAACAGATGCCCCTATTTAAGTTACTTCTATCCGGAGATATGGAGATTGAAATCTCCGTCTCGACGAGATAGGAGGGACTTAAATACAAACATTGCACGAATTTTTGGCCCTAAGAGGCCACCGAATGCAAATGATATGCAATGATATGAGAACGCAAAACAGAGGTCATGTGGAGAAATGGCGCCACAGGGGAACAACTAGATGCGATACACGGGAAGAACGGGCTCATCAGAGCGAGACTCCATGGGAAAAGATCGACAATCGCAAAGTGTTTGTAAATATGTTGTGAAGAACTTGGGAGAGAAATCCTCTTGAGGAATCTACTGTATATGTCAAATGTAATGATTTCCAGATGTCAGCTGGAGGAGTCTATTGTCGAGACTTGTAACTGTATTTGAGAATACTTTTGCCAAAGTATTTACTGTTAAAATCTGTGAGGAACCTACTGCCGAGATTTTGTGTTGAAGTCTGTTGGAGAAATACTTCTGACGAAGTTTTCTGGAAATATACTGCTGAGATTATCCAGGAAATGAAATAGAACTACCTAATGCCGAGGTCTTCTGGGAATCTACTGCCGAGATTAACCAGGAACTGTAAAAGAACTACCTACTGCCGAGGTCTTCTGGGAATCTACTACCAAGATTAACCAGGAACTACCTACTGCCGAGATCTTCTGGGAATCTACTGCCGAGATTAACCAGGAACTACCTACTGCCGAGGTCTTCTAGGAATCTACTGCCGAGATTAACCAGGAAACGAAATAGAACTACCTACTGCCGAGGTCTTCTGGGAATCTACTGCCGAGATTAACCAGGAACTACCTACTGCCGAGGTCTTTTGGGAATCTACTGCCGAGATTAACCAGGAACTACCTACTGCCGAGGTCTTCTGGGAATCTACTGCCGAGATTAACCAAAAACTACCTACTGCCGAGGACTTCTGGGAATCTACTGCCGAGATTAACCAGGAACTGTAAGATGTTCGAATGATTGTCGTTGTAAACTGTAGTTTGTCGTTGTTGTTGTCAATGTAGATGTAGTTCGTTGTAGAACTTGTAGGTGTAATTTGTAGATGTAGATGTAGTTCGTTGTAGAACTTGTAGGTGTAATTTGTAGATGTAGATGTAGTTCTTTGTAGAACTTGTAGATGTAGATGTGGTTTGTAGTGTAGAGCTTCACCGGGGATCTTTGGAAGAGATGTGGGCCGGTTGTACATCCTCTCAAATAAAGAGAGACTATTGTGATAAACTTCTTCGACTTCTTCGGGGAGATGTCACTACTGGAAGTAAACTCGTGTGATGAACTCGCTGGGGAATAAATTTTTGGGGAGTACCTTTGTTGTTGTAAAAATATGAGAAATGTCTGTAACTGTCTTCTCGGGGAACAGAGCGCAAAATAAATGCACACTTGATCCATGTTCAACGGTTGGAGACGTCCACGATATAATTGCCAAAAACCGAAGTTCGATTCGGGAAGTAGCCGAAAAGAAACTGTCAAGCAAGATTTGACCATTGAGGTGTGAATTCAAATGGAATTGTACTAAAATAACCATCTTCCATGAGGATTGAACTCCATGGGGAAAAATGAAACATTGTGCTCTTTCTGCCTAGGTCGACAAATCTAATTGGAGGGATAAGACACACCCAAACACCTAGGGATAGCTACAACCAAAGCGACATAATAAAATAAACACAAAGAATGTAAACAAATGCACATGCTATGCTATCTACTTATATGCTATGTGTATGCCTATGCTGACAAGACAAGCGGAA